ATTCTAGACATGACGAACGTTAGCCCCATTTCACTATTGACTCTGGCAGGGATATCTTCATTTGAGTTCATCATTGCCTTTATGAATAGTTATAGAAATCTTTGAAAAGGCAAATATTTTCTGGCTTTCGAAGGAAATCTCTTTGCATTCACGAGCTCCACTAGTTCATTCCATATAATGTGGGCTTAGTCATAGTTACGTGAAAAGGCTATCCCATGAAAGAACTTTAGGAAGGAACTGCTGCATGTGTCGATTCCTGCAGTCTTGGAAGTTAAACATATGTTCAGTATTGAGAACAACAAATGCCAGATCGATGGTAGAAAACGCCGCGTTTGAATTGAGACGGATTAGTCAACTCTTGCGAGTATCCTAACCGTTTGATGTTACGGCATAATTGATCATCTGTAACGAACGTCTCAAATCCTCTAGAGCCTGGTCCGGGAAGACATAAAATCCTTCTCAATCTTTTTAATGTCAGACGGCTGACATATTCATCTACAGCACCTTCGAAATAAAAGGTGTAACCTTCTTTGGCCAGTGTTAGGGTACTCCAGAATTGTTGTAAATACACCATAGGAACTGGTGTGTGAGCAGAAAGGGAGTATGCAATGGGGTGTCCTCTCAGGATTTCGGGTATTATCTGGTATTCGGCTAGCATATCAAAATTGAAAGAATGGTTATTGGGCTTTATGTCTAAGTATTGGCACTGTCAGAAAAGTGTTTCAGAAGGTATGAGTTCATTTATAGACTGAGGAGGGTTTTAGATATTGTCAGATCTGACAAAGGGAATAAGAGATTCCTCGTTAGACTGATGTTGAATATCCTCCATTTACCTGTAAAATATCTGAAAATATTAATACCCGATTTATTCATATAATACAAGTAAATTAAAGTAAACAAAATTTAAGACTTAAAAAAATGAAGACAAGAAAATTGAACTAAAAAAATTACAAAAAAAGTTTATTAATTTTTTTTTCTAAACTATCACTAACAAAAAATATTAATTTTTTTTTCTAAAACAAAGTTTTTAACTAAAAAATTCTAAACTAAAAATTTAAAAGAAATGAATAAAAAAAATTAAAAACTAAAAAAGAATTAAAAAAAACAAAAAATAAAATAAAATGTCAACCGGATTAGAAATCCGGTCAACTAAGGAAGACAAAAAAAATTCTAACTCTAAGACCCATAAACCGGACAACATCAATGTCACACCCCGCTAAGGCGGAAACGCGAGATGCAACAGGCAAGCGTGTCACAGCAACAATTAATAAATAACACCTTTAAGTTTTACAAAATAAAACTAGTTTAATAACATAACCAAAATTACTTGCTTCCTGAAAAGCATGGAACATAAAATGAATCAACTACAATGAGTTGGTGAGCTCACAGGTTTTCACATGCATAAAACATTTTAATGCATAAACCAAATATTTGCAAACTTATGCGGAACTTTTGCACTTGATAAATGTAAATCTTTCACAGTGTAAAAACTTGAGATGCTACTGAGCATTACCGGACCAACTTGCCCCATTAATTTACGAACGACCTTAAGTAGCCCGTACACTACTTAGGTCCCACGGTTCGTTATAGTACTAATTCAGCGGTGGTCCAAATTCCACATGTTAGCTCCAATATTTACTTAAAGGAAAAGTATGAAAAAGTATTTTGCAAGTGTTGACAGAAGGGTATCTTCCACAGAAGACAACAGAGGACCATCAACAGAAGCTGTTTGATCGTGCAAGTCAAGAATAACAGAACCTCTGTTGTCTCTCACAGAGGTTCTGGAAAATGATCCTCTGGCAATAAGAACCTACAAGTCTTCTACAGCAGAGCCTCTGAGGTGGCTCACAGAGGGTCTGCAGATTCGTCTTCTGTGAAGATCCTGTTCTGCTGTTTTTCAAAGGTGGTTAGCTGCACGTGCTTCTCACGTGACTAGGTCTTTAATCGACTTTATTTGGACGGCTTGGATGATTTCACTTGTCTAGGTCATGTCATATAGGTTGTTAGGAACTAGTATAAATAACAGCTTAGGCCTTTGTAATTCAGTGTGCTTCCGAATTGTAATCGTCTTATTTTCAATCAATTAAAAAACCTTTGAAGCTATTCTATTGCGTTCATCTTCTTCATATCAATCTGTGTGTTCTTGATTAATTACTCTGTTGGATTCTTATCATTGTTTCCGCTGCGCTATAATCGTCCTAAAGATCATCAAGAGTAAGAGATTAAATACCAAATCTGGATTTACATGTCCTAACAATTGGTATCAAAGCAGGAATCAAATTCTCATTCGATTAATTCTGTTTTTGGTATTAATCTGCATTTTATAGAACACCAATCTTCTTCATTTTACCATGTTTCACTCGATTAAATCAGTTTCATCTTATTCCTGTTTTTCTCCTTCTAATTTCAATGGCGAATCTGGCCAATACTTCATTCATGAGCACTGGTTCTCAATCAAAACCTCCCACGCTTATTCGTGAGGAATATCCACAATGGAAGGTGCGAATGATAACTTTTTTTTTGAAGGAATTCACCCAAGGATATGTGAATTTCTTTACAATCCTCCTTTTATGCCAATGAACTTAATTCCAAGAGTTCCTACTACTGGCACAACCCCTGAAATTGTTGAACATTACGAGCCAAGACCTGTTGCTAACTGGAGTGATGAAGACAAAATACTGGTTGATTTGAGCAGCAAATGCAAATGATTGTTAATCATGGCAATACCTCACGAAATCTTCAAATGTATCGATCACTGTCAATTGTCCATGGATATTTGGGGAGAATTAGAAAAACAAATTGAAGGAGGTAAGAAAACACTCAAGAACAATCGAGCAATTTGCATTGATGAATACCACAGCTTCAAGGCGAAAGAAGGTGAATCCCTGTCGGACACATACTCCAGACTAAACACCCTTATTAGCAATTGCAAACGGTATGGAGTAATGAGAACAGCAGAGGACAACAAYTCTCTGTTCTTGAAGAGCCTTGGAGTTGAATGGATGCACCTAACCATGTCCATGAAGGCCACTTTAGACTTGGAAATGTGGACTCTGGCTGACTTATTTGGCTCTCTTAAAAGTCAAGATCCTCAAGTTCTACAAATGAAAAAGAACTATGGTGGTCCATTTGGTCTAGTTGCAGAGGATGGCAGTTTTGGGAAGTGGAAAGGAACACAGAAGGAAGAGAAGGAGAAGAAGAAGAAGAAGGTACTGATAGCAGAAAGTGATGAAAGTTCTGATGAAGAAGTCTCAATGAAGGAGATGATGAAAACTCTGGCCTTGATCACCAG